TCTACATATCTGCTCATGTATATACGTAAAAAATGGTTGTAACCTAGGTTTTCCATACTCTTGTGTACTAGACTGTGAAGCAAACACCACCCTTTCTCCCTACCCCTACATTACGGTGCCCAGAATCCTTCAGCCACTTAAGAATGTCTGTGAGCTTGAATTGGCTTTTGCAGAATAGCAGATACATTCTGTGGGCAGGGAGTGGGGGACAGTTGAAAAGAGGGGGAGAAACAGAGAGAGAGAAAACTTGATTAATGACCTAGTGATTTCTGTGGAATAGAAGTGTCTTCAGCTGCTGGAGCGAAGGCAATCCAAGGTCGAGGTATTGAGCCATGCTAATGTGTCTAAGTTCCTAAAGAAAACCCACTCCCACTCTGCCTGTGCGCTTGCTGCCCTGGTAAAGCAGCTTCAAGGCACAAGTATTAGTTTTTTCTTGAAAGTATGAAAGGAGGGACAAAGAATAATGACTCCCCAAAGATGTCCATGCCTTACTCCCCAGAACCTGTGAAGGGCCCCTCTGCAGGCAGGGGTCAGGGGTGTCTGACCTTTTCTTTCTCCCACACATTGAAAAAAGAAGAGTTATCTTGGGCAACACAGTAAATACACAAACACTAACAAAAGCTGATGAGCAAAAAAAAAAAAAAAAAGGTCAGCGCCTAATGTTCATGATATCCAATACCACAGAGAAGCAAAACAGACTCAAATAATCTGCATGAGGCCCACAGGCCAAAGGTTGGACACCCCTGGTAGATCTTACAAAGGGAAGAGTAGCCTGACTTCTCCAGGTGGGCCCAAGCTAATGACACAAACCCTTGGAAGTGAAAGATCTTTCCCACTCTTAGTCACTGAGAGAGAAATGTGACAACAGAACGAAGGCAGAGATATTCCACCTTGCTGGTTCTAGAGATGGAGCAATGGATCCCCAGGCCAGGGAACGTGAGCAGTCTCCAGAAGGCGGAAACAGCAGTGAGCCAGATTCTCCCCCAGAGCCTCCAGGAAGAAACCGAGCCCTGCCAAGCGAGAGTCACTTCTTGTTCCGACTGAAACTGTTCCTGTATCCCCCCTTTCCCTCTTTTCTGCTTGGCTAACTTTTTCTCATCTTTTGAGATTCAGTACAAACTTTCTTTTATCTGAAAAAATCTTAGCTTTATCTATACAAGCTTCTAAAAAGTGAGGACTCTGTCATATTCCTTGTAAATGTAACTGGAATGATGGAGTGAAGGAATCACAATTTGATAGAGTGTAAAAATAAAGAACAAAACTGTTTCATTGTCACTTCTTTAAAAAACAAAAAAAGAAGGATTAGGAGCACTCACTAAGATTTGCCCACATTCCCATCCATAAATTCCAACCGCTCCTTTCCTTCCCAAGGACCCAAGCGTGTGTGCACACACATGCACACACACACGTGCACGTTCCTTCACACACACTCATATATATACACACACATACAAACACACACATGCACACGCACACACACGTGCACATTCCTTCACACACACTCATATATATACACACACATACATGCACATGCACACATATATACACACACAAACATGCACACATGTACACACATGCACACAACACATGCATGTTCCTTCACACACTCTCATATATATACACACACACAAACACACACATATACACACACACATGCACACAGACATGCACACACATACATGCACATGTACACACACGCACATATGCACACATACAGACACGCACATGCACATGCATGCACATTCCTTCACACATACTCATATATATACACACATACAAACACACGCACACATGTACACACACATACATGCACATGCACACATATATACACACACAAACACGCACATATGTACACACATGCACACACACACACGCACGTTCCTTCACACACACTCATATATATACATACACATACATGCACATGCACACATATATACACACACAAACACGCACACATGTACATACATGCACACACACACATGCATGTTCCTTCACATACTCTCATATATATACACACACATACAAACACACACACATACACACACACATATGCACACATACAGACATGCACACACATACATGCACATGTACACACATGCACATACGCACACATACAGACACGCACGTGCATGCACATTCCTTCGCACACACTCATCTATATACACACATACAAACACACGCACACATGTACACACACATACACACATAGGCACACATACAGGCACGCACACACGAGTCAGCACCACAGAGAGCCTGGCAGTGAAATCCCAGCTGTGGCTATTCCAAGCCAGATAAGTAAGCAATATATCTTCCTCCCTGGTCAAGAGTACAAGCTGTACAGCAGTGATTTTCAACTGGTGTGCCAACAAAATTTCTAAAGATCGTTAATTAAACTATTTTTAAAAGAAGCTCAAAGCACAGTAAGTCTATTCTTGCCACGGAAGTTTAATTGTAGGTTCAAGTGTGCCGTGAGATAAAAAAGGTTGAAAAACTCTGCTGTAGAGAGTCAAAGACTGAACCTTGCATATCTCAAAGGAATTTCAAAAGGCTCAGAAAAGTTTCCAAAACAAGGCGTTAAAACCAGAGCCAAGGCTGAGACGTAAATAGCAGGCCCCACGATGTGGCAGTTTTAAAATACGTCCACAAATGCTTCGACACATTTCCTCCCAAAAGATAGAACCGCATTTCTGTCCCCCTGAGTGTGGGTTGGCGAGCACGGGTCTTCCCTGATGAGCAGGAGATGGTCCAGGGGAGCCGCAGTGGACAGAGTCGCAGGAGGCCCCAGCACTTCTCCTCGCTCTCGCTCACCCCTCCCCACCCGCCGGTCTCCCCCTCATCACTTGCTGTGGAGGAGGCCAGTGACCAGTGACCATGCCATTAAGACTCTCCGACAGTGGTGGACAGGCCCACGTGCGAGGCCTGCTGACAGCAGCCCGGGAGCAAGCTGCCCCGGATGGAGACCCCCAAACCCTCAGACAACTGCAGGCCCCACCAGCATCCCCTAACGGGCGTCCCTGAGCTTTGCACTCAGGAAGCTGCGCTCACATTTTCACACGGCAACTATGAGATAAGAAGCCATTAAGAAGGATGGAGACTTTACATCCTTCATGTTCACATGGATGGAGCTGGAAAATGTTCTTCTTAGCAAAGTATCACAGGAATGGA